ATTATGTAAGGAAAAAGTGAGACAGCTGGCTGTACAATATCAGATGTTAAGACTCTTTGTACACTAATGTTCACACACACGATAGCAATTTATTTCATGGCCATTTACTTAAAAGATCAGTACTTAGCTTTATACATTGAAATGTGCAAATTAAGCAAGATCGTTAAAATTAAGCTTGGAAACCCTGAATAAGCAAAATAAGCAGTTCCAAGCAAAAGCTTAAACTTTTCGCCCCTGCTTATTAGTCACAAGAGAAGTATGAAAAGATTCCATAAATTCATAATAAATCATAAGATTATCAAATCCAAAAACGTTTTAATAGGATATTATTGAATTAAAATAAGTGTTCATTGAAAAATAATCAAAATAACGCTTGTGCCAAATAATATGTATTTTTGTTTGATACAAACATTAATTGGTTTATTTTACATATATTTTGTCCCGTATAAGTCCTTGCCTTTTGTAACCAATTTTATCCTTGCTTTTATCCTTTCAGGTGTTGAACTTGAACATCAATTCGTCATTTGAAGTTTCGTCATGAATGCAACAGAGTGTGATAATTTGATAACATCATTAAAATGGACAGAACCAGCGAATGTTATCTCGTTAGCCATTCTCTTATTTATCATTTTATTAGTGATATCCGGAAATTCACTAGTTATAGCCGCTGTGTTCTGTTCCAACAAATTACGTAGTGTTACAAACTATTTAATTGTAAATTTAGCTGTCGCAGATTTATTGGTAGGATTAGCGGTTCTTCCATTCTCAGCAACGTGGGAAGTTTTTAAGGTAAGTTAAGAATTAAACAAAAAAGATACGTATTCGAATTATTTTGCGATGCAGTAGTTATGTTCTAAAACCAGGGACGACAATCATTACAGTACAATAATTTCAATCAGCATTTAATCATTTTTTTATGATTTTTTATTTTTTTTTTCGCTTAAAAATAATAATTACTACTGAGTTTTGGTTGGCTACTTCTGAAGAGGATACACCGAAAATCAAGCTGGTACAGCTTTTGAGTTTTTTAAATAATCATTATTCTTAAGTGAAAAGATAGAACTCAATAAAAACATTACATTTGGGCGAAAAAATAAAAATCATAAAATAATCATTGTTTTTGATCGAAAAAACAAAAACAAGTAATAATAAATTTCAATATTGTTTTGAGCTTTGTACCACGATTATGTTTATTAGAAAAAATTGAAAAGGCAACAAAGTCTAAGCGGTGGACGTTATAGCAGCTATTTCGGAGATCACCACATCTCCTCATCACACTTCCTTTTTCTAGACTTCAGCAGGGGTCGAACCCGCGTCATCGATGTGCAAAGTCAGAAGCGTTAACCACTGAGCTATGCACACCCTGTTAACTCTTGGTGGTAATTCATTTCCTTATTCAACCTACTACTATCAAGTGCAGCTGATTTGCCGCTATTTAAGCTTGACAGCGTGGTTGTTGTCAATTCTATATATTCATTTGCTTAATTGTATACATAGTTTCAGGCAGGCTCTTCCTAAACTACATACATATGTATTTATCAATGTTATTGTGGCTTATTTACATTTTATTATACCCGAGCGCACTTGTGCACAAGGGTATTATAACTTTGATCACATAACAGTTGTTTGTAACAGGCAAAACGAATCGAGATAGAGGTATACATAAATGATCAGAATGAAAAGAGAAATCGATTAAGCGGTGACTTTCTGTCCGTCCATCCGTCTGTCCGTCCGTCCGTCTGTCCGTCCGTCTGTGCACACGATAACTCGATTAAAAATTGAGATATCTTAACGAAACGTGGTACGTGCACTTCTTTCTGGCGTAGGACGAATGCTATTGAAAATCGGAAAAATCTGACAATAACCACGCCTACCTCCCATATAACGGTAATTTTCAGAAATACGAAAACTGCGATTTTTTAGTAACTACAGAAGGTTATTCACTCAAAATTGATATTTACAATAAGTTTTAGACGAAAAATAAGAATATTATAAATGTTTGAAAAAAAGGGACGTAGCCACGCCCACCTATGGTTCCATGTGTATATTTTGGTAACCGCTGCACCAATTTCTTCCAAACTTGGCACAGTTGTTGGCCTAGGTATAGCATACGAAATTTTTTCCATTTGGTGGCTAGATTTGGCCATCGACTTCTTTTTTTTGCCACCAAACTTTATTTTTGCCACCAGCCACTCTCGAGCCACTTCTTAGAATGATTTTAAATGTTAAACTGAATATCTTTTTCCATGCTCAAAATTCAATATTTATTTATCATCTATCTGAAAAAAGTGTGGCACTCCCAACTCAATTCGGCAATAAAATGTACATATGTATGTATCAGGGATGCTACGAATATTTGCATTCGCATTCGTTATGCGAATGATTCGCATCATTTTACACATTCGCATTCGACATTCGCATTCGCATCAAATGATACGAATTTGCACATGTGAGTGTCCACTCTAATATTGTTTAAATGGCTCTAAGGCTATCTAACCAGGGTGCGGACAATAACCGGCCTTTAGCTTCAGCCGCTAAACGGTTAAGTAGTAGATATATCAAGCCACATTAATGGGCCTTCAACAAGTACTGCTGAAAGTCTTATAGCAACCTATAAATAACTTTAGATTCCTCCAGCGAAAGCGAAGGCTCGGAAGTAGAATCTGGAGACATTAAAAAATTTCTAATTAAAGCTCAATTGAAAGTCTATCTTAAAGAAAAACGGGCTCAT